GCCCGGAGTCCTTCGGGAGTGGGCGGCATACAAGACCAATAAATTCAATTCAATTCAATTCAATACATTCTGGTCCCTGCCCACTAAAAATATTGAATCAAGATTCCTTGACTGTTCAAAGTTTGGGCATCCCTGATGTATATATTTAGAAGATAAATTTGATCTCTTCAATCATTATTGTGGAAAAAGCTCACTTCAAAACTGGACCAGTTACCTGGTTTGGGGGTCTTTAAGTCAAGTATTAGGATTACTTAGATAGTACATAAGCCTCTATTCCTTGCTGATCAGGAGCTGAGGAAGCAGATTTTCATATGCAACAAACTCTTTGCACTCACTGACTTTTTGTACTCCTGACTTGTCTGCACTCTGTGACATTAGTGATAATTCTGCAATCTGGTGAGGTCCAAGGGCATATGACATCCCTTTCTAGCAATTAAGGATTTGGTGATTGTATGGATGTCAATTAGGCAAGACCTGCAAGTTAACCATACTCAAGGAGGTATTATGGGTGAAAGAACAGGCAACTTTACAGAGTTATTCTTTGGGACCAAGGTTCACATATTTTGGGTGTACAGGAAAAAGATTTCAAATGACAAAATGTTTTCGACTACATGGTTCCCTTTCCTGGAAAGCAGGATTTGATGTACCATTCAAATGCTGATAGTTACTTTTAAAGTCTCTTATCAGGAAAGAACTTTTTTTTTCTGGAGAGAGTTTAATAAAGCTCTTTTTTCTGATTTGTGTCATATCTTATATTAAATTATAATATGGTTTGCTTGATCATGGCTTTTTATTGTCTGAATACAACTTTCATGTATTCAACGTTCATGTATTCAGTTAAACAAACCATAGTTTAGTGCATTGTGTGCATCCAGTCAGTTAGGAAAAAGTAAAATATCTCTGCCTTCTGGATGGAATTTTCCTGCTTCTATTCTTGCCAGATAGCTGCTAGGAAAGAAACAGATTACTCTAAAGACATTTTCAGAAATCTTTTGAAATCAGACAAATCTGATATTAGATGAAGTGTTTTACATAGTGCAGCCTATTTGATTCCTGTAACCATCATCTGGTGGAGCATGAATAAAACCAGAGATAATGCTTCCATCTGGTTCTATCTCTTTGAGGGAGAATGAGCATTTCAGAAATGGAAATAGAAATAAAATAAATAAAAGATTCCATCTCTACTTGTGAAATTGCAGCTTTTTCATGTTTCTCATGTTTTTTTCTGTTACAGCTTGGTGTAACAGGAAAAAAAAATACTTTGTTCCTACTAAGGTTTTAGTCCATTTGTAGGAACCTGAAGAACAGTAAAAGTAGTAGTAGTAGTGACTATAGGATTCAGGGAAAAAAATGTCCACCCGTTTTTTTCAACTGAAGTTTCTGCTTGATTGTAGTCTTTTTTACAAACTAAATAGAAAGTGCAAGAGTGCCCTCTAGTCTCTAAATAGTGGATTTAAACAATGTTGTTTAGGCTATCAGCTGGAACTTCAGTGTAGGAATCCAAATGAAAGTTTATATATTTATTTATTAAATTTATATGCCACCCATCCCACTATTGAAGGGATTCTGGACAGCTTACAGAATGATAAAAAGATGGTAGGAAACAATTAAAAATAAAGAAAATTAATTAGAGACTAAAACCGAAGAGGACAGATGACAGGAGCCAGAGGATCTTCTCTATAGCCCATCAGCCATCGGTAGTAGAGAATACTCCCAATATGGCCCCAAACCAGTTGGCAGAATGAAGCTTTAAGGCTCTTCCAAAAGGCCTGGTGAGTAGGGGTGGACCTCATATCCAGCAGAATATTCCAGAGAGCAGTGGCCACAGCAAAAAATTCCTTCTCTTGGATCCCACCAGTTAAAAATTTTTGACAGACCAAAGTCGGCCTTTTCTGCTGGATTGGCTAATACTACTGGGGCAAGATGGCTCCTCAGATACCCTGGACCCTTTCATAAAAGGCTTTAAAGGTAATAACCATAACCTTGAATTGGACCCAGAAGCAAATACAACCAGTGCAGCTCACCCAGCAGATGTGTTACATGAGTCATTCAAGGGGTCTCCAGAAATATCTCTGCCATTGTGTTCTGTACCAATTAATAGGTTGGCAGGAGAGGGGGGAAAAAACAGAATTAGAGATGGACAAGGTATATCAAATAAACTGCTTTGATTTACTCGTACTGAAGATTGACAATGTGATCATAATTGTCTTAAAGGAAATTCCTGTCAGAATTTTGAGAAAAAGAAAAGCTTAATCCCTCCTAACAAGAAGAGAATTTTTCTCTTTTGCTGGAAAAAATTCAAGGAATGATGTTTGTTTGCTTGTTTGTTTACCTAATTAAGGCCCATCTCTCTCACAGAGGGAGTCTGGATGGTGGACAATTTAATTAATACAATAAAACATTCCAACTGAATAATTTAATATTTAAAAAATGTAAATGTAAAACATTATAAAATTATAAGTGATGGAGAGATCCAAGATGGGGCAACTAAGAGTGGTTAATATAAGTGTGTATGGGGGTCTCATAGGGCAAACCAATCCAATGGCTGTAAGGGTTCCTGTGCCCCCCATGCAAAAATACACAGTCAGGTTTTAAACATTTTCCAGAAGACCAGAAAATTGGGCACTTTCCTCACCTCTGGCAGCAAGATGATCCACAAAGCAGCATTAGCAGCAGAAAAGGTCCTCTTCCTTGATCCTGCCAGTCAGAATTCTCTGATGAGGTCTGTAGCATGCTTTCCCTGCCTGAACAAGTGGGATGGGCTGATGTGGTGGGGCAAAGCCAGATAAAGCGCCATCTATTCCATGAAGGGCTATATAGGTAATGACCATCATGTTGTATTGCATATGGCAGTGTTTTTCAACCTTTTTTGTGCAAAGGCACACTTTTTTCATGAAAAAAATCACGAGGCACACCACCATTAGAAAATGTTAACAAATTTTAACTCTGTGCCTATATTGACTATATATAAAGTGTTTTTCCCACGGC